GCAGCCTCCCGTCGCCGGGCTGGGCTGACAGCAACCTCCTCTGGGGACCATCTCTCTCCTGGTGCCGCCTCCGCCCTTCTTGTGCGCCCGTTTTCCCCCTCTTCCATTTAAATCCTATTTGGGAATTGTTTAAATTTTTTTTAAAAAAAAAAAAAAGAAAGAAAGACAGAAAGGGGGGAGGGAGGAGGAATCGGAGTTCCCGAGAAGCAGAGGGACTCAGGTAAGTACCTGTGGATCTAAACGGCAGCGCTGGAAACGCTGGAGAGAACGCCTGCTGGGAGCGGGCTCCGAGCGGGCACCGGGCAGGGCTGGCGCTGCAGCGCGGACCCCAGGGTCAGGTCCCTGGGCTGTGGGCACTTGTCCCTCCGGTGAGCTTGAGGAAAGTAAGTTGACCTGGCTTTCTTCCTGCTTCCAGTATTCCTCTCTTCTCTTCCCCACAACTGAGGGGCAGGTTGCTTCTCTGGGATACGCTTTTCCTTTGGGAAACGCGGGAATGTGCCATGGCGCGTGGGCATCCAACTTGATTTCTCTATTACCTTAACCCTCCAGTCCGCCTTGGCGGTTTTCTCTGTAAAGGAAGGAAGCCGCGTTTGCAATAATGAAATGGAAGCGTGGAAAGATGTGTGTGTGTTTGTGTGTGTGTGTGTGCGGGGGGGTGGGGGTCGCGGGGAACAAGGCAACAGGTGATAAGGGGTTAATAAGAGCCGGCGCCGGTCTCTTGCGAGTTGGAGCAGAGAACGCCCCCTCGCGTGGCTGGGAGACCGCTGGCGGCGTCTCCGGCAGATAGCAAGGGGCGGGGGTGCATGGTCTGGGGGATTAAAGCGGGCGCCTCTGGGCTCGCCCTTGGCCTGAAGTTCAACCTCACCCGGAGGGAGCAGTTCTCTTCCCTCCCCTCTCGGCGACCCGCCTGTTTGCCCTCTCCTGGAATTCATTTTAAGGATGCCCCTAATCCTAAATTCAAATTCCCTTTCTGTTCCTATGGTGTTTCTTCTAAACCTGCGTCCTACACAGTCACGTCTGGAACCCGGGAAGTTGAAAGAGGAATCCATTTTTTTTCATGCAACTCCACTTCTGAAATGCAGGAAGGAAGAACAGCTCAGATGAGCTTTATCCATGCTTAGGCGGCTAGACTTTTACTAGCCAAGGTGGATGAGAGATAGATACTACATTTTTAATGCAAAAGCTAAAAAAAAAAAAAAAAAACCCTGCTTTAGCCAATGGTTTAAATGAGGATAGACTTTAAAGAGTCTTACACTTTGAGGAGTTCCCGATTTTTTCTGTGGTTTTTACCTTGGGTGTGTTAATCTGGTTTCCTTTACCCAGAAGTAATCAAGTGTCCTCTTGTGTTCCACAGGGTGGTGTAAAGGAATTCACTAGCCATGGATGTATTCATGAAAGGACTTTCAAAGGCCAAGGAGGGAGTAGTGGCTGCTGCTGAAAAAACCAAGCAGGGTGTGGCAGAAGCAGCAGGGAAGACAAAAGAGGGTGTTCTGTATGTAGGTAGGTGAGCCCCCTTGTCCTTTTCATATTTGCTCAGGATGCATGGGCTGGGGTGATTGCTGCTGCACATGCTGGCATTCCTCCCTAGATTCCTTTTGCATCATCACTTGTCAAAAGGATAGACTGAGTCAGAGACATGTGTGGGTAGGTGAATGTTGATGTGTATGTTTGAGCTAATAGTAAAAAATGGAGCTAACCTCTTGTTTTTCTAGCTTGTCTAATTTCACAGTCATACTTAGAACTTTTTTTTTTTTTTAAGTGAATGTGTTTGTACATTAGTAACTATCGTTCAGAGGCCAGGTCTTAAAACTGTACCGTCTTTTGAAAAATAATCAGGAATATTCTTAAGGATCAAAATCTCTCATGGGCCTTTGACTTCTTTATCAGCATAAATATTATTTGCTAATTTTAAATTTTAAGTGTACTGATTTAAAAATAAGACCTTGACGTGGCTCTGCAGCATGAGAAAAGAGACCTACGGTAACCCTAAAGTGGAAAGGACAGATTAGATTGGTCTTTGGTGGAGTCACTCCTTGAAAGCATACGGTAACTGTCAACAAGGAGGACTAAGGGCTGAAGAAAGTGCTTGGGAGCTGCTCTAATATTTCAGAACTGCTTATGTAATGCATTTATCAAGTGGAACACATAATTGATGACATTGACGTTTATCATCCTTTTCCTATATCCTCACCTTGTGTACTCAGCAAGACTATGACTCTCTTCTTTGTATCTTACATTGTTTTAATTTAGATTTTTGGAGAGGTTTTGACACTTACCCTGGAGAGAGAGAGAAAGAGGGAAAGTGAGAAATCACCCCCCTGGGGGGTGGCCATGCAGCAATCCCTTCTCCTCCATTCTCCTCCTGGGATCTTGTGTTCTACAGGGTCCACACGGGTGCCTGGCATGAGTTTGAAGTCACTGGGTCCAGGACTCGAACTATGGCTGCCCATGTTGGAGTCCAGCCATGTAACTGCTACACCATCTGCTGGACCTAATTTGGATATTTTTACAAGTCACTCAAAATGTTTTGAAGAAGTGATAGACACACACACTCACCCATCAACCGGGATAAATGCATGTGCACACATACACACACACACACACACACACACACACACACACTGCCCATTTATCCTATCTTTTTCTCCTCTGCTTCTTCTGAGATCATCCACATCTCTGGTGACAACCATGGCAGCCGGAGTCATAGGACACACAGGTGGAGGAGGAGCATGCTGGGTGACTTAGATGACTTAACTCTAGGCCTATATAGAGTAAAAAAAGCTACACTGTTTCTCCAACAGGACAGTTTATACTGAGAATAATTTTTATGCATGCTTCCCATCAAAGTTTGCAACAGATTATTTTTTCTTGTTCTTAATAGACTCTGTTTGTGTTGACTTGATCTTTCCACAAATCTTCAAATTATTCTTTCTTTCTCTACCTTAAACATATCTTTAGAAAATAAAGGAAACAGTGTTATGGAGGGGAAAAAACTGATGACTTAATTTCACTTTTTCTCTTTTTTTTTTTTTTGACAAAGTGTATTTTTTTTAGATGAAATTTGGAAAACTGACCTAGTAACATACAGTTAATATCATTCTATTTGTCTTCAGTTTCCCAAGTTCTGCATGTATAAACTCACATCTATTCTTTAACTTCACTTACTTTATTATATAATATCCTTAAAGATTTATTTTAGAATGCTAATAAGCCCTCTATTAGTATGTATTAGTATGTAGTGAATCCAGAAACTACTGAATATATTTAATACATAGCTCTATTCTAGGTAATGAGCAGGTTTTATCATCGGAAACACTTGTTACTTGTTTTCATTATGCATTTAGACAAATGAAATGGTTTTTATCTTTCAAAGATTCAGTTATTTTCTATGAGATGATTGCATAAAATTGCAATTTGTTTATGTGTCTTGTTTTTGAAGTCATTTTCATGCCTGTCATTGTATTTAACACATAGTGCATTGTATAAAATATTTATTGGTTATGTTCTGAAAAGTAATTGAAAGATGAATTCACATCCAGAATTTAAGATGAAAAATTATGAAAAAATAATAATAGTATAGTTCAAGAGTTGGCAATTTTTTTCTGTAAAGGACCAGATAATAAATATTTTAGGTCTTAAGATCTGTTTCTACTGCTCAGTTCAGCTGCTGAAGTATGAAAGCAACCATAGACAATAACTAGTGTGGTTGTGTTCCAATAAAACTTTATTGTCAACAGGTGCTGGGTTGGAATTGACTCACAGGCTATAGTTTGCTGATTGTTGATAAAGTGGAAAGAATATAGACTTGATATCACACAAGCCTAAGTTTTAAACCAGGCTACAAACACTTAGTACGTTCAGGGTCATGGGACATTATTTAACATCTCTATCATCACTTCCCTCATCTGCCAAAATATGATTTAAAAACATGCATGTCCCTTGCAGATTTTTTGTAAGAATGTCACAATGAAACAAAACATATGAATAATTGAGCTCACTTTCATTATAAAGAAGCCATTACTATTATTATTAAACTCTCCAACAGAATAATTATTTTGCCAATATGTTTTCTTTTTATCTTTCCTTTCTTCAATACTAAGATTACTATTGATTACTAGTTTTAAAGTTTCAACATAACCAAAGAAAATTTCAAAATTTCACTTATGGTGAAAGAAGTTTGGCAGAAGCCAAAGTAAGACAAAAGTTCATAAGACAAGTAACCTAATTCCTTGATGAGAATCTAATTTTGGCAACTACTTTTTAACTAATTAAAGAACTACCATATAATCAGTGTTATTTTTATGTTTTTTTTCCATTTGTGAAATCTGTATACATAAATTTTCAATCAACATACTTTAATTTAATTGACAAAAATTTCCTCAATCAAATTACTTAGATATTATGCATTAAGATTCATTTAAAAACATTAAAAATTTAATTATAGGGCTAGCTCCATAGCCTGGTGGTTGAGGCAGCTGGATCCATATGGCTAACTGCACAGTTTGAATCCCAGACCTAGTGTCTTGGGCAATACTCCAGGTATGTGTACATGCATACCCAGAATCCTGAAAAGCAAGGAGGGAGAGATAGAGGAGAAGAGATTGAGATTGTGGTGTGACCATTCTTTTTTTTTTGGATGAAGAGGTTTTTGCGATAGGGCGCATGTACTCACCAGAAAGACAGAGAGACAGAAAGTGAGAAATCGCCTCCCATGGGAGATGGCCAGCTGTAACACCTTCTTCTCCATTTTCCTCTTGGGATCTTAGGCATGCCCACACACGTCCCTGGCATGATTTTAAGCCACTGGGTCTGGGACTCGAACCGCGGTCAACTACATGGGAGTCCAGTGACATAGCCATTACACTAACTGCTGGTCCCATGCTGTGACCATTCTTTATGTATTTTTCTTTCTCTTCTTTCTCTTACTCTCTCTTGCTAGCACACACACCCTATAGAAAAAATAACATTAGCTATATTTATATAATTCTAAGAATTGTAGTAATTAAATGAAAGAAAGAGATGATCTTCAAAACTCTTCTAGTCCCTCTCTACTCAATGGGCAGCGGTGGTTCAACGTGATTGACATCAGACTCTCAAGGGACAGCACGCCTTACCTCACCACACTGAGAAAGCCCACATCACATGCACCACAGTGGTTAGCTGAGTTCTCACTACTCTCAGACATGACGTGGAACCTTCTCCAAGGTGCACCTCTGTGAAGTCCTGAGGGACAGTATAGGGGGCGTGTGGGCCACCTCCACTCACAAATCATCAGCTTTGGTGCCCTTTCAGCTTTTAGATGGTACACATAGCCACTTGGCATCTATTTTGTAGCCATACCATATTGAGTACACATAGTTAAAGGTTAATCATTAATTATAGTTGTTAATAAGCAATTATGGCAGCAAAGGATAGTTGATTGGTTTGATAGATGGCAACCTCATCAAGACTCTCATTTGTCTTTGATGCAGATACATTCCATGATTTAACCAAAGATCAAATTCTCAGATACTACTGAGGCAGAGATGATTATTCTGCTAATCATATTTTTGAAGTTTTTATTTATTTTTTTTCTATTAGTGAGAGAGGCAGAGAGAAAGAGAGAAAGAGATAGAAAGACAGCATTCTCAATAATCTTAATGTCACTCTCCACCCCAGAAAATCAGCCAGCCCAGGACCATGGGCATGCACATACCCTGTGAACATGAGGGAGTCTCTGGACTGGATTCAGACTTGTAGCCCCCCAACATGGATCAATTTCACAGAGCAGAGCATTTTACCACTAAATCACCTTTTAGCTTTAACAAGTCATTCTTTTTATAGAAATATTGGAGAGAAGAAACAGATGAGAAATACTCTCTTAAATATCTGGAGACTTCAAAAAGTTCATAGAAAATTTTACATTTGCATTTATTTTGGTGCATGTATATTTCCTTCATGATGTACATTGTCCATTGCTTTTTGAAGACTCTCATACAGTACCACTATGCATAGATTTATTATATACCAAGTCCTCATGGTTGGTTGAATAACAGTAGTCACCACCCCCCTAGTAACACAGTTCAACTTTTTATTGCCCCAGTACCTAAACTGAGAATAATTGCATAGAATACAAAGTTTTTTGCTAGCTCTTCAGCCCCCAAATAATCACATAAATAATAGAAATTCATTACAATCAGTGAACAAATAACACCTCTCCTTTCAAAGGCTGATTAGTCACTTCATATTGTAATTCGGTTCTTATAGACAGCAATAACTATGGTTCCTTTGCCCTTTGTCTCCCAGGGATAAACACATGTGCTATTTTACAAAAAAATGCATAAGTACATAAGACACTGGCCAACAAATATGCAAGTGCAACAAAGAAATAGAGTTAAGTATGCTAGAAATAAAATGGGAGTAAAACAAATTGATTTATAGAAGTGGCTAACCTTGGAGAGGTTGTCACTGCTGCAATTTAATAGGCTGTTGACACACAATCAAAGGACCTTATTGAAGGTGAACCTATCAACACAAATGAGGAAAGTGGTTGTGGGTGAAGGCGTCCTAGAGGGAAGGAGCCACAAAAACGCCCACATTAAAGGAACTATCAGAGATGCATCATACCACAAAAAGTGCAAAAGGTCACATTTTGGAAACTGATTCAGACTTAGAAAGGAATATGACAATTCTGTACAATGTGGAAAAAAAAAAAGCCTCCTCCATAGCAGAAGTTATACAATAAGGCAAGCACTGATTCACCTAGTCTCTTCATGAAGAAATAAAGAACTTGCATTCTTACTGGATTTTTTTTTTTTTCTGGAAAGATTTTTGCTATAGGGTGCGTGCGCTCGCCAGACAGACAGAGAGAGACATTAGAGACAGAAAGCAAGAAATCACCCCCCGGGGGGATGGTCACGCCGCAATCCCTTCTCCTCCATTCTCCTCTCGGGATCTTGGGCACCCATGCACACGTGCCCAGCGTGAGTTTTAAGCAAACCGCGGTCAACTACGTGGGAGTCCAGCGCCATAGCCATTACGCTAACTGCTGGTTCCCTTGTTTTTAAGTTATACTAAATAAGCACTAGTTTTAATATTTCTGTATACATTTATAAGTGATAAGAAAAATTTTAATCTTTTGATAAAAGATTTTAATGGTCGTGGGACTATTATGACTTATACCACCAAATAGTCATAATTTTTCTCATTGGTTATTAAGAGCACCCACCATAGCTTCAACTCAGTTTTCACGGTCACTTTATCATCTCACAGTACCATGTAAAGTGAGCCTTGCCTATAAAACACATATACACATATACACACACATCACATATATATATATATTTTATATATATATGTATTATATATAATAATATATATCACATTTATATGTATTATATATATATAAAATACTATCCATTGTCTCTTACATATGTAACAACTTCACAACTTAATTTATGTAACAGTTATATTTGGTGATTTGTCCTATGCTTTTAACTGTAAGTCCCTTTACAAACATTGTGTATAAAGAAGAATAATAGTTATCCTTTCTAAGTATCTGATATGTAATAAACTTGATGTGGATTGTTTCCTTCTATCTTTATGTGACGCAATGATGTATATTTGGTTATTTTATAATGAAGATTTAAACCCAGGCATTCTGAATCCAGAGCCCATGTTTTTAACTACAAAGCTATAATTTATGTTTTATTTATTGGGAGTCCTTAACTATATTCGAATTGAAAGTTTCCTTGAGTGTTCTATAAAATATAAGTGGAAATATGATGCATGCAAATTTCACTTAATGTCTTATATTTGCATATGTTCATAAAACATTCAGTGAACATTTTCAATATCGTATTTATTTAGATCATCTTATGGTCATCATATTATTTAGATCATAAAAATGTACTACTGAATTTTAAATAAATGTGGAACTATGGACTACTTGGGATAAGCATCTCACAAAATTTAATTCATGAGTTACCTGTATTAGACCATGAGAGTTATTTAACAAAATGCAAATATCTGTACTTTGCATTTACTATTTGGGGCTCTGACTCAATTGTCAGGATTTTTAATTAACACTCCCACCCTGTGATTATGCTCTACTCTACAGTTTAAAGGACGATTTTCTTTGTGAATAATTAGTTTTATATATTCAAATTTTATTGAAAATAAAACTAAGACTCCCTTATACTTTTTTGACTTTGTTTCAAAAAGTATTTACAATGATTTCTTATCTACTTAGTAAGAGTTTTTTTAAATAGTGCAGTTTTATTGGGTTGTATGAAAGGTCATGTTGCATTTTTGCATAGAAAAATATTTGTCATGACTTTTCTAACAACCCAATAAACTAAAGATAGGTAATCATCGTAATATCCACATATAGGATTAAATCATTTTCAATGTTCATATCCTCATTTTCTTACTCTCTCTGTCTTGATAGAACAATATCACTTGATAATTGGTAGGTAGTTTTTAAGTGATTCTTCAATCTATTGCTACTTTCTCTAAAAACATTTTAATTAATAAAACTGGTGAGAATTATACTGAAAAAAGACAACCTTAGAAAGGCTATCCAATAAACTTAGTTTTAGCAATATATTTACTAATTATTTGCATACAAGTTTTTTTTTTTTACAGGTTTTTCCATAGGGTGTGTGCACTCACTAGAGAGAGAGAGTGATTTTAATTTCCTCCTATATAAAATGGGTATTATACACCTATGTTAAATGGATGATATGAAGATTAAATTAGGCATGATGTAAAATGCCTTTGGATAGATGTTCAACAAATGCTACAGCCTGCTTTCCCTCCCCCTTATATTTGTGTGTCATGGGTTAACTAACCTCTCTTTTAACATTTCTGCAGTTCTGAATCCAAAATCATCTTCTCACCAAACCCCAGTGTTATCTCACTTTTCTTCTGCTGTAAGTTTATATGTGAAGTGAGAAGCAAGGGGAGAAAGTCATCATTCTGTGCTAAAAATCTTAATTGAACAGACCCTCCTGTTAGCTTTGCCTTCTTCTATTTACTGTAGAGGTTACTGAAGTTCCTCATTTTAGCTTAGGTGTGGGCTTCTGAAGACAGAGATTTGTTTTGATTAGTTGTATTTAAAGTAACCAGTCAGCAATGTGAACCCAGTTTGAGATTTATGTTTCGAATCTTTTTTTTCTAGGCTCCAAAACCAAGGAGGGAGTGGTCCACGGTGTGACAACAGGTAAGCGGCATAAGATAGGCAACTTTTTAAAAGCTTATGTATTTCTTCCAGGAGAGAAAGAGAGACAGAGAGACAGGCATCAGCAACAGTGCCCACTCCATGATTCATGTCCACTCCCACCTGGTCCAGAACACAGGAACACATGCTCAGAGAGTTCCAGGATGCCAACCAGGACCTTTTCCACAAGGGTCCAGTTGTGTCCCCACTGCCATCATCGGGCCCAATAGGGCAACATTTTTACAAGACATTTTCTGAAAGACAAAAACCCACAAGCTTATATCTCCATGGTTTTTCAATGTTGGAAAACTTTGTGTACCACATCTTCCTTGTAGCCTATGAATGCATCGAAGGTGACCTCCAGTATAAATAGTTGTAATATAGTTTGACTTGAGGTTTTTCCAACTTACTTGACTAATCAAACCTTCTTTTAGTGATTGCGAGGGTCAAATGAAACCAGATTTCTACAGAAAACTGTGAAATGCTGCTAAGCGGCAAGGACAGGACAATGTTGAAGTGGGCGGTGTTTGTAACTGTTGTAGCAGTTAACCACCCTGACAGCAGTAAAAGATTAACACTGTTGTACTAACTAGTGTGACTATGACAAATGCACTAGGAGAGTCAGCTAAGAAGTACCTTTTCTTTCTCTTATCAGATAAATGAATTACTTAATTTGTTGAGTAGGATGGTTTCATATGAAATGTCAAGTTCCAGTTATGATAATAAACAAGTTTGAGACAATTACTTCAATGCTTTAAGAGAAGCAAAATTGGATTTATTATTATGCTTGACTTAATTTTATTTTTTTTAATTGCTGGAGTATGTGTACACTCACCAAAGAAAGAGAGAGAGAGAGAGAGAGATGGGAGAAAGTATTGTTCATTGTGTTCATTCCACAGTTCCTTCTCCATTTCTTCACCCTGTTAGGGTATTGGAAAGACACACACACATGCATGCACACACACACACACACACACACACACACACCACACTCCTTGTGTGTTTTTCACACACACACACACACACACACCCCACACTCCTTGTGTGTTTTATAAGCTGTCAGGGCCAGGATTCAAACCATGGTCTACGTGATCTAGCTCCTTTTACTAGTAAGCCATGGTGTCTGCCCAGGTTTTATTCTTACACACAAAAATGTATTACATCATAATGAATAAAACAAATTTTTGAGATGTTGCAATATAAATTTCCTTAGTAATTTCAGTTTGTTTTCTTCAAATCTATCATGTGTATGCCAGTTCAAAATTAAAGTTTTTTAATTTTTTAAATTTGTCCAAGATCACAGGATATATTTATTATATCTATTTTAAAATGTAACACATTTGTGTTTGAGAATTTTATTTTTCACTTAGCTAAGAAGTCAAATGTAAATCTAATTATTGAAGTGATGAATATATTAAAGCTAGACACAAAATTTCTTTTAGTGCATTCCAAATTATTTAGTGACTATGTGCTTTGCAATAGTATAAAGAGAAATAAAGAAGGATCCCTGATATTCAAGATCTTAAAACAGGGTAGTGGTGGTGGACATACATGTTGATAAATGAAAATCATAGGGCATGAGGTGAAGAGTTCAACACAGAGAAAATTCTAAAATTTTATGGGCTCACAGGAGGAGGAACAAAGGCATTTATAGTCATAAGTTTTTAACATGGAATGTGACATTTGAGCTGGTTTTTAATGAAGGAATTAAGTTTGCTGAGTAAGTAGGAATGAGATGAATGCTTCTGGCCAGATGGGACGGTTGGTACCAAAATGGGAAAGACCAGTACAAGAGGGGAGAGTGAGTCAGTTCCCAATATTAGAGTCTCAGTTGTGAGGAGAGCATCCTTTTTTTTTTTTTAAAGATTTATTTATTTATTTATTCATTCATTCATTTTAATTTGACCAGAGAGAGACATAGAGAGAGAGAGAGAGAGAGAGAGAGGAAAGTGAGAAAGCAACCCACCAGTTCCAGGACTCGAACCGTTGTAGGCCACGTGGGAGTGTCCAGTGCCTTAACCACCACGCCACCTGCTGGTCCCAAGAGCATCCTTTTTGATACTGTTTCTTTTCCCTAAAAAATAAACATCATTTATTAGACCCAAAATATATGAATTTGATATCCCTTTCCCTTTTGTTTTGTTGCCCTTCATTCAGAATGTCAGCACACAGAGGAACAGCCTAAAAGACCTTAAGAGTGAAAAATAGAGGGTTGAGGTCCACTGAGAACCTACAAGTGAAATTAGTTTATCAGTAAAATCCATTTTTTTTTGAGAAGTTTTTGCTATAGGGCGCATTTGCTTGCCAGACAGACAGAGACAGAGAGACAGAAAGCGAGAAATCATCCCCCAGGGGGGATGGCCACACTGCAATCTCTTCTCCTCCATTCTCCTCTCAGGATCTTGGGCATGCACACACACATGCCCGGCATGAGTTTAAGCCACCGGGTCAGGGACTCGAACCCCGGTCGACTACGTGGGAGTCCATTGACATAGCCATTACGCTAACTGCTGGTCCCAGTAAAACCCATTTTAATATGCAGTTTATGTGCGTTAAAAACAATAGATTAAAGAGTATACACTCATAAAGGATTATCTAGACATGGTAAATTTCCTGGCTGGCAGAAACACGATGGGTTTGAAAAAGAATCAAAACCTATTTTTGCCTTGGTTTGAGATTTTGTAATATGAAAATGTTCATTTCAAGCAAAGTTGTCTGCTCATGTTCTTGGGGAGGGTGGAAATGGCAACTTGATACACATAATTTACTATTTTTAAAGGACCAACATTCCAGAAATGTTTAAAAACAGAATTCCTAGCACAGTTTCTCCCTGGCATTTAAACTGAACTTTGAATTGTGAATAGCCATTACTCATTAGGAGCATCAGCCACATTGCTAGAGGAGGAACAGAGTCAGTAGGCAGACCTACAAAATCCGAGCCTGAAAGGCCCGCAGAGCAACACATGCTGTAGACTCTATAAGTGTTAGGCTGTCTGTCTAGCTCAGGTTTCCCCAGATCGCCTGCACTAAAGACTAAGCTCCCTGTCTGTGCAGACCATCTTAGCTTCCGTGACCTGAATAGTCTGTTTGAAGATCAATTACTGGGACCACCAGAGGGTGCACTGGATATGTTGCTGGGCTCCCACATAGTTGACCACAGTTTGAGTCCCAGACTTGGCAGCTTAAATTCACACCGGATGCATGTGCATATGTGCCTGTAATTCCAAAAGGTGAATGGAGGAGAACGGATTGCAGCATGGCCACACCCTCCTCCGAGGGGGTGATTTCTCGCTTTCTGTCTGCCTCTCTCTCTCTCTCTCTCTCTCTCTCTCTCCAGTGAGTGCATGTGCCCTATAGCAAAAATCTCTCAAAAAAAGAAAACGAAAATGCATTACTTTGTACATGCCATTTAATTTTTGCCCTTTCCAACTGGTGGCATGAAATATGTTCCATAACATATGAGTGGCACTTAACTAGCAGCTGCTGTGGTATAACACTGTCGGGGGCCTCAGATGGAATCTGAGCTGCAGAATATAAAGCATATGAAGAAAGTGTGTTTCTATTTGCTTAGGTGAGTGTCTAAAAAAGAATAGCCCTCAAAATCAAGAACTGAATATTCCTCAGAACAAAAATTCAATTAGCATTGAAACTGAAATAAATAAATTTTACAGTGTGTGTGGTTTGACTGTAACTACACCTGTCAGCCTTGTTTCTGTAAATTCTTCTTAATATAAATCAAGCTCTAGCTAAACTCAGTTTTACCTGAAACCAGGGGGGAACAAGCAAAGATGAGTCTGTGAGGCAAAATTGAAAGAAGTCATATATTGAAAAGACATGAATTAGAGATGCAAGACCTAAGGACTGGAGGGCACAGATATTGCAAAAGTTTAGATAAAAAAGAGTTGTTTCCCTTCTGTATTGACTTTGGAATTATTAAAAAGCAGAATATGTTCCCTTTTGCTGCATTTTCATAGAACTTTTCAGTTAATTGAAATGAACATTTTTGTTGGAGCTTCCTTTATGTGACTTTATGGAATTGACATAGAAATATTGATTTAGCAATTCCACAGAGTTTTAGTACATCTTGAATTATTTTTGATATGAAATTAGACTTCTCTATAAATCCAATCCATACTACTCATACTATCTTCTCTAAATTTTCAACTTATTTTTAAAATACTGCTGAATTACTATGCCATATTTTGTTTCATGAAAAAGAAATTGTAAATGTGCTCAGTAAGTTGCTTCATTTTTGCACTGTACTTAAAGTCTTTATTCCTTTTCAAATTACTGAAAATAAATATTGCTATTAAGAACTCTTCTATTGGATCCAGTAGATGGCATGGTGGTTAAGGGCCGACATGGTTCAAGTTCTGGACCTGGAGACTTGCTCTCTCACTTTTCCTCTCTCTCTCTCTCTCTCTCTGTCCCTCTTTGGTAAAATTAAAATAAATAAATTAAATTAAGTTAAATAATATCATTCTTTTTTTTTTAAAGAAAGCCCTTCTATTTTACTACTTTTTATAAAAGGATCAAGGAGGACCAACAAATAGTGTAATGGTTACGTCACTGGACTCCCATATATGCAACCATGGTTTGAGTCCCAGACCCGGTGGCTTAAAACTCACACGGGCATGTGTGCATGTGTGCTTAAGATCCCAAGAGGAGAATGGAGGAGAAGGGATTGTGGTGTGGCCAAACCCCACCCCCAGAATGGGGTGCTTTTTCGCTTTCTGTCTCTGTCTCTGTCTGTCTCTTTGGTGAATACACATGCCCTATAGCAAAATTCTCTCTCTCAAAAAAAAAAAAAAGGATCAAAAGGATCAAGGATCCTTTGTAACCATCCCTTATGCCATTGTTCTTTTCTGACAGTGACATGTATGAGCATATAGATGAGTAGTGTGTGTTGCACGACTTGGAAGATGAAGTGGTGAAAATGAACTTGTTGAGTGAGATTAAAAAAATATTGGCATTGATATTGGCATAAATAAATTGCACTCTGTGTCTGATTCAACTAAAACCACACCTTGTAAGCATTGCTTTCTCTTCACTCTCCTTAATAAAATCTGAACTCTAATTGCTCATGGCTCTACCTTTTTGATCCTTAAACTTGAAGCACCTTCTAGTATCTGGGTGGTTCCAACGAAATTTCGGCAAAGATACAATGTTTGGTTACACCATGCTTATAAATATTGGGGTAGCTTTCATTTCATCTTGACCCTTTCATTGTTATGGGATATGTAAACATGGATGTGTAGAAGTCGATGGCTGGTGGAAGTGGAATTATCTTACATAACTGTCATTTCACAATTATTTAACCTATTGCTGCTCTTGGTTTATCCCAGTGGCTGAGAAGACCAAAGAGCAAGTGACAAATGTTGGAGGGGCAGTGGTGACGGGTGTGACAGCAGTAGCCCAGAAGACAGTGGAGGGGGCGGGGAGCATTGCAGCGGCCACTGGCTTTGGCAAAAAGGACCAGCTGGGCAAGGTATGGTTTTCCATCTTTAATGTTATATTTATAAGCTTGTGGATCATTGTTCATTTTCACAGAAATTTGATGCAGGAATAAGATGTTTACTGTGGGGGAGAGCTGTTTGGTCCTTCCCTCATAAAAAAAGTACATCCTTGGTATGAGTCTTTTTGTTTTTTGTAAACTTATTTTATGTTTATTCTTATTCTTATTTTTTAAACATTCAATTGCTACATATCATTTGGCTTGTAAAGAGAATTTACCCAACATGAAATACATCTCTGACCAGTCCAGTTGGGAACACTATACATGTTATCGTCAATAGGTAGTAAGCCATCTCTGTATCCCATAAATGTCCTGCCTCTCTATATTTTCTCCCTGATTTCCTTCCTTATACTCTTCCCTTCACCCACCCTCCTTCCACAGTCTCCAGTGTTCATAACTATTTTCACTGCTTTTATGTCCTCCAATCTTTCAGTCTCTACCATAGAGTGTGGACAGTTGGTATATATTAAGTGGAGACCTACAATATCTTTCTTTCATATCCTGGCTAGCTTCTCTTGGCAGTAAATCTTCCATATTTGACCCCTTTCTATCAAATACCAGGGTCTTGTTGCTTCTTATGGCTGAATAGAATTCCATAGAATATATGTACCACACTTTTTCAATCATTTATCTGTTCGTGAATATTTGGGTTGTTTCCATGTCTTAGTGATCATGAATAATGCCACAATAAACATTTATGTGCAAGTCCTTTTATGACTGAGAATTCACTGATCCTTTGGGTAGATACCCAGGAGTGGGATTGCTGGTTCATATGGTAGTTCTATTTGTAGATCTTTGAGGAACCTCCATATTGTTTTCCACAGTGGCTGGACCAATTTACATTCCCACCAACAGTATAGGAGAGTTTCCTTTCCACCACAAGCCTGGTAACACTTACCATTTTTTGTATTTTCAATCTTTGCCATTCGGACAGGTGTTAGGTGGTATCTTATTGTGGTGATATGAGTCTGTTTTGTGATGCATTAATTCAGATAAATGTTATGTAAGTTGTACAATATTCATGATTGTTTCATTTCATCGAAGAAAGTTAATGGAATCAACATTGCAGTAAATACCAAAGGGAACAGTGACATTTCAGAAAGAATTGGTGCTTTCATGTTAGCTGTGAATCTCAGAATTTCTCTCTGTTGGAATAAGAAATCTCTTTGTGCCTAAACTCTCAATTTCCAAAATGAAGATATTTTACTTGATTTTTTTTCTAATGACATCATGTCCTATTAAATGGAATGTTGGCATATTGCATAATAGTTCATTACCAAGTATATGTGGAAATGGAGACTTAAAACACATACAGATCTGAGATGAGGGTTTTGGAGTAATTTTTAAATTCTCGGAAGAATTTTAACTTTGCATTTCTTGAACAAAATGGGACTCTACTAAGATTATGCAAAAGATTTTATGACTTTTACTTTAAATATGGATGTATTAGATGAAGTATCAAGTGGGAGATAAAAATTTAAAAATTTCATGACCAGAACAACATGATGATTTTTGTCTTTGTCCTGCCATTTTGACCTCTTTGCTATTCTTTGTACAAATCAATTATACCCTTGCTAAATCTCCTCTCTTTGCCTGGAGAGCTTGTCCCCAAGGGGTTTTCAAAAAGTTCATGGATAGGGAACCAGCAGTTAGCGTAATGGCAATGTCGCTGGACTCCGCAGTCGATCGCGGTTCGTGTCCCGGACCCGGTGGCTTAAAACTCACACCGGGCGCGTGTGCGTGCATGCCCAGGATCCCGAGAGGAGAATGGAGGAGAAGGGACTGCAGCGTGACCATCCCCCCGGGGGGTGATTTCTCGCTTTCTGTCTCTATGTCTCTCTCTGTCTGTCTGGCGAGCGCACGCGCCCTACAGTGAAAATCTCTCCAAAAAAAAAAAAAAGTTCATGGATAATAAGAATTATTTAAAAACAATTCTATGCATAGATTTCAACCTTTTTTGCACCAAAATAAACTTGTACTTTTAAAAAAGTCTTTTTCTTTTTAAATGGTCAGAGAGCATATGTTTTCACCAGAAAGAGAGAAGCATCCTTAATGGGGCATGGCCATGCTGCAATCCTTTTTCCTCTAACCCTCTACCCTGTCAGATTTTGGGCTGCATACACATGTGCCTGCGTGTTTCCCGACTGATCTGCCATGCAGAATCTGGCTTTCTACATGTAGTGCTTAAGGCAGCTCAACGGGCCAGCCCCAATAAACCCATACTTTAATTTTTTTTTTACCCCCCCCACAACTTTTTAAAGCCCTCCTCATTGATCTGCCATGCAGAATCTGGCTTTCTACATGTAGTGCTTAAGGCAGCTCAACGGGCCAGCCCCAATAAACCCATACTTTAATTTTTTTTTACCCCCCCACAACTTTTTAAAGTCTCCTCATTCTTGGCTCACTCCTACATCACCTCAGGTCTTTGTCAAATAACACCTTCTGGTGAGGCCTGCTTGGCCTATTTAAAATTAGAACCATCCTTCTCACCTCTGGTATTTCTAATCCTCCTACTCTTTTTTTTCTTTTTTTAAATTGTTTTTCCTTTTCTCCAAAGTGTTTTTCACCTTTAAAAATAATAAATAAATTATTATTTATATTTAAATTGTTTAATTTGTCTCTCCTCTTCTAAATGTATCACGAGGATGGAATACATTTTGTTCATTGATATTTTACGAGTGCCTAAGAGAGTGCCCTACGCATACTGGACAATTATTAAATATTAATTAAAGAGGAAAGGAAGGAAGGAAACAAGTAAATACATAAAGCAGCCTTTGTTTCTGAGTCTTTTATAATCATAGGCATAGAATGAAAACCGTGGCTGTTCAGCTATTCAAAAGTTATGATCAAAGTGGATTTGGAATGGATATCCTGAAAACTTAAGAAAGGGTCTTTATTTTTTCGCACACTGCTCCTGAGTGGTTTCCACCTTGTGTATTCTTAAGTAGCAGGCCTACCTTGATGGCCTAGTAAAGCATTAATAATATGAAGGCAGGACTAAATATCTGATAGGTTTACATTGACCATTTGTAGTTACGTTGTCTGGGGCCATTGGTGTTAACCATCTTACATTGGGCCCCTAGTGAAATGCTTCAGGAAACACTTCAATGAATTTCTTTGTATAGAACATGCTGTCCAATAATCTTACATGTGCTAAGAGTTATACTTCTTCTTATTTTACGTCAGAAATTATATGTATAGCTTTGTTGCATTTCAAAAGTTAAGAGGAAGCTCAGGTAGTCAAGAGGGAGTACAGAATTCATGAATATTTTTTGTGTCCTAGACTACTTTTTAAAAAATACTTTATTTAACTTTATTTTTTTTATTATTACTGGTTTTTATTTGATCAGAGAAAAACAGAGAGATAGTGAGAAAGTAAGCTGTCGTATCTGAGACTCAAACCATGGCAAGCCATTTGATAGTCCATCCTCTTTAATCACCGTGCCACCTGCCAGCCCTCCTTCCCAGACTAATTTAACACTCTTATAGAATCTATGAACTTCCGGGGCCGACAGGTGGCATGGTGGTAAGGGGCGCTAGACTCCCACGTGGCCGACCGTGGTTCAAGTCCCAGACCTGGTGGCTTGCTTTTTCACTTTCTTTCGCTCTCTCTCTCTCTCGCTTCAGTCTCTCTCTGGTTAAAATTATAAATAAATAATGAAATAAATAAACAAACAAATAAATGGCTGAATAAATAAAGTTAAATTTTAAAAAATGAAGTTATGAACTTTTTTCCCAGAATAATGCACACTCACATGTTGAGGTGACTTCAAAAAGTTCTTAGAAAAATGAGATTGAAATTCAGGGACTAACTGTGGTGTAGTGCTAAAGTGTAGCCTGGCCTGCAGCTGGAGACCACCCCAAGTGCCGGGCACATGCATATCCATGATCAGGGCTGGCTGAGGCTGAGATGAATTGCAGCATCAAGACCCTGTCGGGGGTGCTCTCTTTCTCTCTGTGGGTGTCTCTTTTTCATGGAAGAAATACATAAATAGAGTTAGCCAGTGGTTAAGGCAGCTGGATCCTTCATGGTTTACAACATGATTAGAATCCTAGACCCAGTGGCTTGAAAAACAGGCCAGGTGCGTGTGTGAGCATGCCCAAAATCACAAAAGGAGAAATGGAGGAGAATAGATTGTGGTGTGAACAGCTTTCAAGGTGTATGTTTCTCTCTCTTTCCATCTTTCTCTCCCTGCTTCATATCCTGCACCAGTGAATACATGTACCCTCTGGCAAAAAAAAAAAAAAAAAAAAAGAAAGAAAAGAAACAAAAAGAAATTTTTAAACATTAAAAATTTATTTTATTGCAAAAGTTTTTCAAATCCATGTATAGTTGTTTTTTTTTTAAATAATACATGCTTTTTCTGAGCTTTTTGTAGATTTCCTCCCCTTCCTTGTATACACCCAAGAGTGTAATAGGAAATCCATTGACAGACCCCATAATCGAGCCCATAATAGAGCCCATGATTTTCACTAATCCCCTGATTGTACAGATGGGGAAACTGAAAACCACAGCGGGAGCTCAGTACTCCAACGCTGCATGGCCAGTTGGAATAGACAGCACCAGCAATGCTTTTCCATCCATTATGTCATTTCCCTAACCGCATCCTCAAATTTACCTTTCTTTAGGTCTTTATAAGCTGAATTATGGACAACCAGATTAACTGGAGAATTTCGTTGCTTCAGAGTATTAAGAAACTAGGAAAACTCGTACCATTCTTTATAGTTATTCCCATTTATGGCGTACGATATAAACTGCAAATGTGTAATGGAAGTGCTTCACTTTTTTTTTTTTTACACAAAATTTAGGCTTTCTTTTCACCCTTCTAAAGCATACTGCTTATTATTTAACATTTTAAAGCAGAAATCTAAATGATATGATGAAACTGACCATTTGGAGGTACTTTCCTTATGAATATTACAGGTTCTTACAAATGTCTAGTACAAAAGTGAAGCCATAAAACCTAGAAATT